ATATTATCCACGAGTTCAAATTATTATAATGTTAAATAATGTTAATTATTAAAACATTTTAGCAGTTAGCAAAACATAATACAGTAATACCTTGTCAACGAAACAATTTTTTTTTTTAAATGATTTATTTATTTAATTATTTAACAGATATTAGCGGTGTTTAATGCTAAAAGTTTTAGGCTCGACCATCGAGTATCCATGACAGATTGGTAAATCATAATGTTTTCTTATTAATTATTATTATTGTTGCCCACTTACTAYTGACTACACCTGCAGTGAAGTGTAAGTAGTGTAATAATACACCGCCACACGTATGTATGAGAGCAACGCATTATTGCGCCGAAATAAAAGTGCGTATATTCGGGTAAAATATCAAGTTACAAAYTATAACTATTATGAAATATTTTGATCTACGATCGGCTCATATCACTCAAGGTCGTTTTGTTATCAAACATTAGACCGGAACCGGGAACACTGTATTATATTGTTTCCAATTTGTAAATAATTTGCACGTAATAATTGTAACGAACGATAATAATTATTACAACAACGAAAACCGACAACATTAAAAAAGTTATAGCGGCATAAAAACATTATGCCAATATTAATCAATTTAATCCATTTTTCGGCCTATATAAACACCTATATATGATAAAATACTGAATTTTAATCAAATATTAATTTGAAGACTTTTTTTCCACAAGACTCTCTTAGCGGGCCGACATCTTACCGGCGAATTTTTTCTTAATATCAGGAGATCTATATTCAAAATGTGTAAGATAAATCGTAGGGTAATTGCCTACCCCATCCCCGGACTAATATTATACATATAAAACAAAGGTCATGGGGCGTATATCCACCATATTGCCACGCATTGGCGTATTCCATTAAATTTCAAAAGGTGCAAAATTTTTATCGGTCCAATAATCATAATGACAAATTAAGTTATATTACTTATATTTAAAGCTAATTGCGTTGCTCACGTGTACTATTATAGATATCTCTTTATATTTGATAACAATATAACATAAACAAATATAAAAATCTGTAGGTACTTATATTTTTAATACTATATGTGCTGTATCTGTACTATGATACATTATACGTATAAAAATATAATATTTATATGAAATTATTTAAAGTGATAGCAACATTTTTAAACAAGTTTAAAAAAAAAATTTTACAAATCAATGRAATATAGTTGATATTGTATTTTTAATTAAAATTTTTAATAGGTTTAAAGTTCAGCATCTGCACTTCTGCAGGTGCAAAAGCATATCATCGCACCCGCAACATGATACCAGTGGGTGCAAGTACACCGTCGTGCACCCCCGTCATTACGCCACTGTGCCCACGAGCATACGTCATGAGGACACGTGAGTTTCACACGCACGTTTTTCGATTTAAGTCAACCACTCGAGTTTGTACGCGCCGACGGTTTGGAGCCATTATTATATATACCTACGCACCATCATCGTACGCGTGCTCTCATCATCGCGTACACACTTCATTAATGAAAATTGAMTCACTCGCAGTTGCTGTGAAACGGCCCTTAAATAATGATACATTTCATTGATATCCGTTTTATTTATCCGATTCGTTAATTAGAACGGATAGCGTGAAATAGGCCTACTCGTCCAGCTGCTCTGCAGCGATAGAACTTCATCACTATACGGTACGTAGGTGAACGGGGCGAAACGAATAAATTCAAGAAATACGAATCAACTCGATCAACGCGTCCGAAATGTGAGCATTTCGTAAGAATGTAAGATAGTAAGATACTTTTCTTTTATGTCTTATTTGCGTTGCGTTTAATGTTAAGTCGTATTTAAATTTCCCCCTTCTTCCGGCCCACCCACAAAATAGACCGGCAGTCTGGGTTATTCCGCGAATTTTCGAAATAATTACAATATTATTTATTATATGCACGAGCGCGCTGCGCGCGCACACACACACACACACACACACACACACACGACATCTTAAAATAGTCGACGGGATTCAAAGCGCGTCCGCCGCCACCTTCGCCCGCACATTCAATCGTATTACATCGAAATACAATTTATTATTAAATACAGAGTGGGTATAATAATAATTACAAGACACGTTGTATTGAAATCCGTATTCATAAATATACAACACTGGTCGGGCTATCGGGTCAATCTCAAATAATAATAATAATAACACTGTCCTTGACACCCCCGTCCGTACCCCGAGAGCCGAACAGTAAACACAGTAATATCGGTGCATTAATATATTGTAGACACGCATCTATAATAATAATAATAATCATATAAACATAACACATAATCGTCGTGGCCGCCGTCGCCGTCGTATTCGCCGCGACCATAATACCATAATATTATGGTCAGCCTACACGGTTCGCGCGGAAGGTCATGGTTTTTCGCGGCTGCGACGGTCGTTCGACGTCGGCGTACTGGCAGCACTGTGCCGATCGTCGGTGGGTCCGGCTGCCACCTCGTCGAGGTCGTCCACAGTTGTACTCCACACTCCACCGGCCCACTGCGCGGTACACACACTCAGAGTCAGAGCGTACGTCGTCGCCGCCACCGACTGCTGCGTCGTAGTGTCGTCCTCGTGACTTTTCCCCCGCGCGCGTTCTCGTTACGTCGCCGACACATATCGTCAGTACTCAGTTGCGGCGCAATTAGTGTGCACTCGTGACGTCCGCGTTTCGTAGCGTGTTTCTGTCTGGTGTGTGTGGTTTTACATCCGCGATTTAATATTGTTATTATAATGTGTACATGTATGCAGTTCAACATATTTTAAATACATACACCACGCATTATATATGTACGATGTCATTGTAACTTCTCCGTGTTTGAACAATTGAAACGATTTTTTTGTATTCTGAAAATAAATTTTTCTCTTTTTCATCTTTTTAACTATTCGTTTTTTTTCTCCGTGTTTACGCTCCAGACTCGGGTTATAATACGTTAACCGGTTTCACGTGTGAGTTTTTATTTTTTTTCTAAATACAAGTCAACGTATTCCGTCCGTCGTTTTTAAAGAGGAAAGACGTTCGACTCGAGGGCCATGGATTACGGTTTAGAGCCGCAGCAGAGGGCCAGGTCCAACACTTGGCCCTTGCCCAGACCGGACGCCGAAGACGGCGGGCCCCAGATGCCCGAGGGCAGTCCCCCGCAGTTGTTGGACATTGTCACCGACGTGGGTGGAAACGGTGGCACTGCCGGCACCGTTGGCGGAGTGCCGTCGCCGGGGTCCGGGCTGCACCCGCCGCAACAGCAACAAGGCGCCGGCATGGTCGCCGGGCCGGTCAAGAAGACGTCCAGCCGGCGAAACGCCTGGGGTAACCAGTCGTACGCGGAYCTCATCACTCAAGCCATCAGCTCGGTGCCGGAACAGCGACTCACTCTATCCCAGATCTACGAGTGGATGGTGCAGAACGTACCGTATTTCAAGGACAAGGGCGACAGCAACAGTTCGGCCGGATGGAAGGTAAGACTGATCCCTATATCCGTAGCATAAAGTAGTTAATGGTATCCATACTACAATACTAAAAACATCTACCACGGCTCGTTTTTCCCCTCTAGTTTCACCAAACCAGACCAGTCTGCGTAAATGATGCGTAATTTACCAAGTCCCTACTGAACGTCTCGGTTTTTCGTTATGACCCCTCGTTCTCATCCCCCACCGTGTCGAAAATCTTAAATATATTCGTTTTTAAAAAATCCGAACGTTTAGTGACAATACTTATTAATAATTCTGAGAATAATGGACTTTGGGTCAGTGTCCTGCGCTTATCGGGACGGAAGATCGTTGGGGGTATGACCACTATGCAGTGGTTTGCCGGGAAGGGGGGGAGCGCCGTCGCCGCGAACCGTATACCCCCGCACACCTGTGCTCCACCGCGTACACGTGAGCCCGTCTGGCGTCGGGTAGCTACTGAAATCGGATCGGACGGAATTCACTGAACGCATTATATTATTAGGTATTATTATTGTTATTATTTTAAAATATTAGGTATTCTATAGTGTAGTGCGGCGCACGCGGATAATTTTATTGTGACCTCCACCGCACCGTGCGTACCGCGGTAGAGGTCAACCGCCGACGAACTGCGTTTTTGGCGCGCGCGTAATCGACGTTAATTTATGCACCGAAAGCGTCGGCGGCGCACGTGGTGTGGTGGCCAACGGCGGATGGCGGAAGAAATTCGAGACGCAGCCGCTGGCCCGATGACGACGTGCGTGGAACTCGCGGTCGGCGGGAGAGTCAGTTCTCGGTTGGATTTGATGACTGCGCCCGCGGTTTTTGTGACGCAGTGTGGGTGGGTGAGGCGGCGTTGGTGTGGCCGTCGGAGAGACGGTAACATCTCTCCGGTGCAAAGAGTACGTGGACAACACGCTCGCTCGCAATATCCAACGTACACGCACGAGCAGTCTCACACCAACAACTGATAAGAGGTGACCAGTGATAGGTACGTGCGCGCGCGTGATGTGTAGGAACCTTAAATAACACACGAGAAAACGATCGTTGCTAATTAATAGTACTATAGAATTATACACGGAACGCGGTAACACCCACCTGCGCGGCTGTCGAGATAATCGTGTCGGAATATTATCCGATAACGCGGACCGTGGTGTTTCACAGGTGAAAGGGTCATCTCGGATAAGTATGCGATTGGATTTTATTTTTCCTCCCATTGCCCCGTCTCAATAATCCGTCGTCGTCTACGTTATTATTATTATTTTCCGCAAATACTTTATTACGTACATAGTCGTGATGATTATGATAATGAGTACGAGTTTTTCGTACGTCTTTTTTTCACTTGACTGCTGCGCAAAATAACAATATTATTATTATTATTACTACGCGCACACGTCCGAGTTTCCGCGAGCATCTCGTCGTATTTCCGTTTCGTGATGGTGTTGGTGTCGGTGGAGGTGTTACCAAGCACACGTCAAACCCCACTCCAAACGTTGTTGTGTCCCTCATTCGTTTTTAGCGTTACACGAGGAATACAATAATATTATTTTATTATTACGCCAATAATATTATTGATAGTACTGAACTATTAATTATCTTGATAACACGGATGACAAGAAGGTATTAAAAAAAAAATTAAAATTAAAAAAATAACATATAATATTTTATGTCCACTCTGTAATACGTTAAAAACACAATACAATTGATTAAGAATATAGTTATCAACTATTGTAATGTTTAATCGATCGTTCTTTATTTTTTATTTTTTGTACTTAAACATTATTTACATTCAGTGATCGGTTTTGAGGATTTATATAGTGCACTTTAAATATTATGCTTAAAGCACTCGTAAAGCGATAAAACCCACCCGGACTGATATCTTATCTCTTTGTGCTCACGAGCCATAAGCAGAAATGAATGTTGAAGACGACTTGAAACCGTCGGCACACCCAATAGGCGAGTGAATTTAAATTCGCTCTAGGAAATAATTTCAATTTATTCTTTTACATAATTATTCAAGGTCAGGGATTGTTATTTTATATTTTACAAATTGGGTACCTATATTAAAATTGAGAAAAATCGACACGTAAAATAACAGTTCAGATTGTTTTGAATGACTTAGTATTAGTTTGATTTTATTGTAGACCAAACAATATTAGTCAAATAAACTGTAATCACATTGATAATATACTCGCACATTATAATATTTATTTGCGATATTTGCTTTCTAGCTTTGAACTGATAATATGATATGAATTAAGATAACTTGTGCTATTTAAATTATTTTTCAAGTACTCATGCAAATTTGTATTACTCAAAAGTAAGAAGTCGTCACAGAGAAGGATACATAGAAACCTCGATAGAAACTATATTAGTGCATTGAAACCTATTTAAGCGTGGGTACACAGTCGTTTTAATTTCGATATGCTTATGAATTTACTTAAATTCCATCTTATTTTAAACATTTTTCAAATTCATTAAATCTAATATTTATTACAATTTAACACTAATTATTATATTTAAATCATATCTCTCTCTCTTTATTTTGTTGTGAGGCAATTAAGTCCTTAGTAATTTTAACACTTAAATGTTCATACTCAACTAGTCAATTAAACGTGTACCTAAACCTTGAGTATCTTTCATTTGAAGTTCGATCTTTTGATTTATTTTTATCATTATAATATTAATAATTGGGTATAATATTAATATATAATAAATAAATTATTTTTAACCATCTTACACAAGTTATATATTTTTAGTATAGACCTTATCCTATGTAGTTATATTATGTTCCTTATCAACTATAATCATACATACGGACTTGACACTATTTCTTAGAGTATAATATTATACCAAATAGGTTTTTATTTATTTGACGAGACGTATTAAATGCTATAGATGCAATAGTCTGCTATGAACGTCTGTATTGTTTCGACAGATAAATGCTTTGGGTATGTGAAAAMAATTTCGTAACTGTCAACAAAATGTATAAAATCGTATTAAATTATCACATAATGTCGAATTTCTAATACCTAATTATATTATATTATTGTTTTGGCGTGTGCCCTCTGGTATAGMGCGCGACCCGTTTCAGCTGTTCATCCCGTGCTATATACGTTATCAGTCGTCAGCGTCAGTGATAAATTAATATTGGATTCATGATCGTTGAAATTAACCACTGAAATTGCCGATTGAATTGATCTAGAAAATATACCGATTAAATGAGTGAACTCGTTGAACGCCATATGACTTATGAATGATAATCGTGTATACTGTATAGGTTAGGTACATCTTGCATGTCTGTGACGGTTAAAGAATCCGGTTTTAAATGACGTTAATCTTAGAAACACTCTGGTTCTATAAATAAACATGTTCAAAGCCAACTTTCCCCACTCCGTTACATGCTTAGGTGTTTTCTTTTCAATAATTAATAACTGCCAGTTTTCTTATTTAAAAATTAGTAGCGGTAAGTGTGCGATATTAACCAGGTAAACGTGGACGCTTCTAGTTTGTATGTTTGATTTACAGGGAATTTTTATTTATATTATTATTAGTACCTATAGGTAATCCTATCGTTGGTTGTCAAATAGTATAATTTTTAGACGGTTAAACACAAAAATGTTTTATTTTACCATAGTTATTAATAAAAAAAAAAACGCCCACGCAACCCCTAATCTCTGTCGGTGGTACTCTATTAAGTATACTAATATTAGGTACTATTATGTATGCACCGTTATATAAATTCTACGGTGTCACTTGTTTTCGGCACTTTAGTCTTTCGCTTCATGAAATTAATTCCATACCGTTGTCGGCCACTAATCACAGTAATAATATTATAATAAGTAATAACTTTGCAGTCTAGAAAATACGCGGTCCAAATATCCACTAGTAGTTAGTAGGAAGTTAAGTTGGGTTATTAAAAATAATATAATTAATAGGCATATGCTATCTGAATGTTTAAGCAAGGTAGTTCTAATGTGTTACTACCATTTTGAAATTAATGTGTATGATAAAAAGAAACCACAGTCGCGTTGTCGTTCGCGAGTGCATATTATAATTTATAATATCAGTGTAATGGCTAAACAAGACTTGATCAACCTTATTTATTGTACTGCTATTTTCCCGACGAAGAAGCGTCAAGGTGCGATGCACATCGTCACTTTTGTAGACAGTATTCTCCTTCAAGAATTTACGGTTTGATGCGTTACCGCGACCTATACTCAGAAAATTAGAAATTAAAATTGTATCTATAAATATTATAGTTTTATATTACTGGGGTTGGAACCTTTTGTAAACTAACGCGTAACGCTGTGTTGAGGACGTTTCTTATTAATATAGGAAAATTTTTAAGTAAGGAACTATTATAACATAATATTAGTATCAATTGTCAACTGTTATTGTGTGTTGTCATCAGTTAATAATTAATAAGGCGGAATTAATACCTATATATTATGAATCTTTGTGAAAAGTAACTGAAATGCTTAAGGTACGAGATTCGATAGGTAGCATCTTGGAACGTTGCCTGTATTCTGACAAACATCAAAATTATGTTTGTCTCTTATAGTTGCACTTATAGGATACGGGCACGTGCTCCGAACGTGTGCAAAAAATTACCTCTATAGTTCTTTAATATATTGCATAACATATAATATGGTATATAATAACAATTAATACAAAATATTTATTTGTTTTTATTAATTTATTCGTGTGCATAAGTACTTTCTACCTATTGTATACTATATTTATGTGCATACATATAACAATTAGTATTAATTATTTCAAAAAGTTAAATATGATTCCGAATCATGGCATAATATTCAATTATAAAATTACAATATCATGTTAAAGGTAGTATACTAATAGTTTGAAATATTATAATTTATAATATGTAGGTATTCAAGAGTTAAGAATATAAGAGGATTGAGGGATATGTTATGTAATATTATTCGGCTTTATTTTTTTTATTGGTCAAAAATCAAGATGGGCCATACCCCCTCCCCCACAGGGTTACT